TTTTATTTATTTATTTGACAGAGAGAGACACAGCGAGAGAGGGAACACAAGCAGGGGGAGTGGGAGAGGGAGAAGCAGGCTTCCCGCCAAGCAGGGAGCCCGACACGGGGCTCGATCCCTGAACCCTAGGATCGTGACCTGAGCCGAAGGCAGACGCTTAACGACTGAGCCACCCAAATGCCCCCAGATGGAGTTTTAGTGAGTAAACTCGGCCAGAAAGTAGATGAGCTACTCAGGTCTCTTTGGGTCCTCGGTGTTTGTCTTAACTCCCGGAGATGGGTGAATCCCTTGTGAACTCTCTCTCAGAACACTGAATCCTCAGAGAACAGAGTCAATCCTTGGATATTACGATCTAATGGGAAAAGTGTCCTATTGGATGCCTGCTGATTAGAGACCCTTCCTCTTTTCAGCACTCAGTGTCTAGGAAAGCAGGAGAGCCCAGACGAAACCAGTGTAGACCCACCTGCTTTAATCCTCACAACATCCATTAGGAAGTAGTATTTTCCAGAGCTCTGGAAGGGAAGCCCTTCCCCCAACTTTTAAGTAGAAAGCAATGGTGCGAAGTCTAGGGCTTCCTGACCACAAATCTGGAAAACATTCCTCCCCACTGACACCCCTCACAAAGGGTAGATCATAAGCCTCACACGGCCAGCCTGTGCGCTGTTTTCTCGTGTGTTTGCTCCCCCGTGCAACTTGGCCTTGTGCCCAGCGCTTCGGCAGTCACTCCAGATGCTCCAGGTTTCACTTCTCCTCCTCATCCCTCTTTCCTCACACCCTTCCTTCACCTTGGGGGCTTGCTCTCTTGGCTCTGGGACCATGGGTCACCTTGGAACAAGAGAGCTGCCCCGTGTCAATCTTTCCTTGCACACGTGCTTTGGAGTGTGAACATCTGCATCTCCAGAGACACGGGTATTTGCAACAAGCCCCTGCTTTTTCCTGTGCTGGGTTCTGCTGCACATCAGCCACGGGCTGCAGGAAGAAGGCAGGCGGGCTTCCCTGCTTACCTTTGTGGTCTGGCAGTGAGAAAGGAACGTGACCTTGGCAAAGGGGTCTGAGAGTCCACTGCTATCAGCTGCAATGAGGCCCCGGGCTTGGTACATGTGCGCTCTCAGCTGAAAGACATGCCGGGCTGTGGACAAAGAGTGGAAAGGGACCGACATCAGTGGGCTTTTCCCAACAGGGAGTGGGAAGAGGTGTCTGTGTGCCTTGTGCATCTGTGGCGGTGTCTGGAGGCCAAGACGAGGAGCATCGCCGGCCTCTGAGACTGAAGGGGAAGCAGTTAAGAACTGGGGGGGAGGGTGGTATTTTGGAGCCATGCATTCTCCTTGGCACCTTTACCATACCGTGGGTTTTAATCTTCATAACGACCCTGTGATTATAGATATAATTATCCCCATATATGTATGAGGCAAATGGCTACAGAAGTCTCCCAAATTTGCAGAGCTATAAAATGCCAGAGCCTGGATTTTTACTCCTGTCAGACTCCAAACTCACCTTCTCTTTCCAAAATACCACATTTTATGTTTTTGTAATTTTCCTTGTTTCCACTGGCACATGCACTCACGTGTGTGCGTGTGTGTGTGTGTGTGTGTGTGTGTGTAAGAAAGGGGCTGCCCCAGAAATCAGTGGCATTCCTATACACCAACAACAAGACAGAAGAGAGACAAATCAAGGAGTCGATCCTGTTTACAA